CGCACATGTGGTGACGCCACCGGACACGATCGATGTGTGTAATAAACTGGCCTCCTGACCACGGATCACGACAAATCAGAACGCAAATTCCAGCACGTGAGGAGTTTTCGACCAGACGCGTACCTCTTTAAATCCTCACGATGAACAAAGAAGTTCATCATCCTGGCAATTGGTGATCTGCGATCCATGAATTTTTACCATCTCTTGTCATGATAAAGCTCCTCTCGCTACCTAAAATGTTTCAAATGACAGCCATCGGGGACACGCAGCCTGGTGACATACCCAGCCCCTGACAAGACACCAGTGAAACGCGACTTCTCACTTGTGTTTGTCTCTCATTGCCTGGTGGTTTTTATGCAGCGCCTGCCCACTCACCACGGTGCTCAGAGCTCCAGGTGGGGAAAGTCCCCCCGATTTCTGATGATTTTAATGCCTGGTGTGTGTGGACAAAGGCTGAGAGTTCCAGCATGTGCCCTGCCTAGGTCTCTGGGATGCCAGCGGGAACCCTGCCGTCGGTCTGCAAGCCTGCACACAGAGACGCACGTCCCACCCCGAAGCTCTGTCTCATCCACGGCAGGGCCGGCCAGGCTGCCGAATTTTCTCCTTTTATGCAGAAGGTTCCACGGTGAAGGAGATTCTAGTGCCCAGGGGCTTCTTTCACGGAGCAGATCTGGGCGAGAGCCACGGCTGGCGGAAGCTGTCACCCCATCTGTGCAGGTCCACGGAGGCTAATTTTAAACCCGAAGAGGAAGCAGAGAACGTCGTCCGTATCCTGCGGACGTGTCTGCCGGGGACAATGTCCTTTTACCTACTTTCCATCATGCTCTGTGCTACGAGCTCACGTTAGCGCTGCGACTCCGATCGAATGTCTGGGCCACCGACGTTTACGAAACGCCTTGCTGCCCGGCGATGTGGAAAAGGATGTGGTGACTTCTGAGAAAGTGAAACCTACGTGACACCCGACCCAGCGACCCCGCTCCTAGGTAGAGACTCGGGAAACGAAAACCCGTGTGCTCGCACGTAAAACCTGCGCGTGGACGTTTCTGCAGCCGCCTTAGCTGTCGCTGTCAAAACTCGTCAGCGACTCAATCGTTCTTCCCCGGGCGAATGGCCCACCACCGGCCACGTATCCTGCACACGGAATCCCGCAGAGCCACGAGGGACCAACTACAGGCGTGACCCCCGCTTATCCGTGGGGCATACGCGTCCAGACCAGTGGCCGCCTGAAACCGCGGACAGCACCAAACCGTGCATAACCTGCCTTTCCTAAACATATGCATCCGTGACAAAGTTCCATTTGTACCTGAGGCACAATAAGAGATTAAGAATAAAAAAAAAATAGAACAATGTTAACGACAGGCTGTCCTGAGTGACAGTGCCTGGTCGCTGTCTCAGAATAGCTCATGGTGCCGTGTGTCCAGCGTGGATGCGCTGGACAGAGGGACGAGGCGCGTCCGGTGCCGGATGGCGGGAGATTTCGGGCGGCTACTCAGCCAGGGCAAGATTTAAAACTCCTAAATTGTTTACTTCTGGAATTTTCCGTTGAGCATCTCCAGACCTCAGTCGAGGGCGGGTAACCGCGGAAAGCAGAGCGTGGGGACTGAGGTGGTGGGGGGCTGCCGCAGACAGCTGGGGGGAGCCCACGGGAGGCCCTCGGGTGACTGACATCCGCCTCCGGGGGCGGGGCAGCGACACGAAGCCACTGTCGAGGCCCTTCCCGAGTCTTCCTGTCGTGACATCTGCGGGAAAGCGTCATCTTCGGCATCCCGCCCCCTCTGCGTGGGGGGCGCTCCCCTGGGCCCGAGGCGTCCCGGCCGACACGCACGCACGTGCGGCGTCACAGAGGGAGACACTGGCAGACGGGCAGGGACGCATCTGCTGGACGGTGTCCGAACAGAGGGGCCGGCCTCTCTCCACCTCGTCTGGTGGCCGGGCCCAGGAACGGCCACGGTTCCGGAGAACTTGTCCCTCCCTGCACCAGGAAGGTGCGGTGGAACATTCTGGGTGCATCCCTGGCTGGCAACAAAGCACAGACCTACGGGAGACCCAGCCGTCTCCCTCTGGCAAGGCCACCACCGGCTGCACGCCCTTCTACGCCCAGCCTGAAGACTAAAAAGTATCACTGAAGAGCATCGCTTGGCACCGGAGAACCTCCTGGCACCTTCCGGCACTTTCCGGCACCTCCTGGCGGAGAAACCAGATGGGGAGGAGTCGGGAACGCAGCACCTGTCAGCACGTGGGCCTTGTGCCTCACGAGCTCGCCGGCGAAGGACGAAGGGAGGGCACAGGGGCCTGAAGGGGAGCCACGATCGAGGCCGCCTTTTTCCGTCCCTCAGCCTGGAAAACAGAGCGAGTCCCCTGGGAGGAGGTGCTCCTCGCCCTCGGTGGGAGCTCGACATCCGCATCACCCACACCTCAGGATTTGAGAGACGTGTGTCAAATCGCCCCAAAACGCACACTCGATGAACACGGCAGGCACCTCTTCTCTGCCTCCCTCTGGTGCAGTGTCCTTGTGGGGTGCTGCCATCAGTTCCAGGGCACGCACAGTCGTGAAGGGGGAGCCGGCCCGACACTGTGGGTTCTCGCCCTCAGGGGCCTGACACACTGGGACCGCAGTTCCGTGACGGTCCCCAAGATCCACGCCGATGACATTCTATAGGCTGCTGCCTCTCCGCCCCCTTCCACGGTTGCCTGGTGACAGAAACTATCAACAAACAGGAGACAAATGTTAAGAAGCACTAAATAAGGAAGTCTGGCCTTTCTGCGGGACGGAGGGAGATGTCCGTGTCTATTCGAAGATGCTTCCAACGCTGCCGCCCCGGGCCCCTGGGACCAGCCGGCGGCGGAACCCGCAAAGCTTTCATTTACCTCGACGTCCACAAACACAGGGGCCACGGGTGCACCTCGTGCTCTGTTCACGCGCTGTGAGTGTCCCATCTCATCTTTGCACGGAGGGGCTTCCAGAAGGAAAGCGGCTCACGTTCACCTGCCAGCATCGCACCAGCTCTGTGACGGGACCACACCTGTGCTCCAGGTGAGGGACCGACCCCCTTCGGAGTGCAGGTCTGGGCAGCAGAGCAGCGGCGGTCACCTCCCGGGTGTAGAGTTTTCTTGCGTGTGTCAGTTTCTTACGCGATGTTCCGGCACAAGCGAATCCAAAGGATCTCGTCTACGTATAGACGTACGTGCACCTTCCTTGAATGACGGGCGTCCTGAGTGACAGAGCCCCAGGCGTGATGTGGACGCTGTTTGTTTATGACGGGCCGTATGGATCCCCGATGTGCTGCACCCTTTTTTGTCCAGAATAACCATTTTTTTGCAGAGTTGAGGCTCCAATGGAGTAAATGACTTGTTCACGGTTCGAGAGCTCGGGCCTCCGGCCTGGCTGCCCTGCCTGCCCACCTCACCCTTCCAGGCGAACTCAAAAATAGGCTGGGCCCAGGGGCTCGCGAGCAGGTCCCCCTTGGTCCTAGCACACGAGTCTCTGGGAGTTGGGACCTGAAACTTGCTTTCCCTCTTGAAAAAACAAGTTGCAGAACAGACACCCTATGCTACTAGGTGTATGAAGCTTGAACACGCACAAAGCAGTTGTTATGTACTGGGGTGAGTCCCCACCCCGCCAACTATGTCGAAGTCCTGCCCCCCAGGACCAGAATGTGCATTTGGAAATCGAGTCACTGCGGATGCGATTCGTTAAGATGAGGTCACAATGGAGTAGGGTGAGCCGTGATCCGACAGGACTGTGTCTTCACAAAAAAGGGAAATGTGACAATTCTAGACAGACACAAGTGTGCACAGGAACAATGCCTGTGATCCTGAAGGCAGATCGGGGTTTGGGGTGCAGGGGGGGGTGCATGTACAAGCCCAGGGATGCCAGCAGAGCACCAGAATCTCAGAGGCGAGGAACAGAGCCCTCCCGGCCTTCGGAAAGAACCAACGCTGCCCGCACGTGCATTTGGACTTCTATCCTGCAGGACGGGAGACGGAGCCATCTGCTTACGCCACTGCAGTCTGTGCTGCTGTGGGCCACCGGCCCAGGTAAACCAACGCGCCGTTACCTGGCACCGCTTAGGATGACACCCCTGTGCGGGACGCGCACGGGGGTCAAGCCCACCCAGTTCCGGAGGGTGGTCATTACCGCTGAGGGGACCAAGGGCGTCGGCCCCAGAAGGGCAAATGCACTGGCCAAGGGTTTACTTCCTAAGGTGGGTGGGCGGCAGAACACAAGGATGTTTCTTCATAAATGTCACTTTGTACGTCTCTAATAAAATAAAGCTTTCATAGTTATAAAGGTGCAGTTTAGAGATGAACTTAAAAATAAAGTAAATTGAAACAGAACAAAGACGCAAAGATTTTAAAAAAGCAGCACAGGCAACACTGTCGGCTGGGTGCAGACTCCGCCATGGAGGGAGCAGGCCCTCGTGTATAATGGGGACATCGACGCTCAGTGACGTCAAAGGACCTGTGTTAGGAAGCCCACCTGTCTGTGACGAAGCCAGGCCACACACACCCCGGGCTCCATGGCACCCTTCAGCCCCCTGAGCTGCCCCGAGGATGGGACCATTATGTCACGACTGGGCCCGTTCACGACTTACCGCAAAGGAAAGTCTCGGTCATAACCAAAGGTGTTGGGAGAAACAAGAACTCCCCTTAAGTTTTAGGGAGACGCGGCAGGGCCCATTTTTTTGGGGGGGGTGGGGGTGCAGGATGGCAGGTTGGAAGCTCAAGACAGCAAAGGTCCTAAATCTGAGAGGTCCCCGCTTACACCCCAGCTCACAAATGCCCTCGCTCTCGCCAAGGCCAAGTGTGCCACATGGTACCAGGGGACAAAGAACACATGCCCGCCCGCCACCCAGGGATGGGACGGCCCCGGCCCCCGCCCCAGCCCCGCCCCGCCCGCCTCGTCCTCAGCTCTCCATTCTTCAGAGCCTGGCTGGTCCACCGGCGGCCGGTGGCTGTCAGTCACTGGAGTGTGAGACAGGTGTTCCCCGCCCCCTTACCTGACTCCTGGAGGTACCGATACACCAGGAAGTTCACCTCGTCGCTGGTTATGCTCATCTTAGCCTGGCCTCGCAGCGCCGGGGTCCTGACAACGCGGGAGCCACCCCCTGCGGGAAGCGACAGGAGAAAGCGGGGAGAGTTCACACGCTGCCCGGGACGTGCTCTGTCCGCGCGTTTTCCGAGACGCTGGAGAGAACCACAGCCACGGCGG